GCAGTAAGGTTTGACCAGATTCAGAGCCAAGAGGATGTCCTGACACACTGGAAGTGAAGAGTGAGGGAAAAAGAAGAGTGAAGGATGACTCCAAGGTTTGGCTAGAGTAACTGAAAGGATGCAGGTGGCACTCACTGAGACGGAGAAGCCTGGGGATGGAGTAGATTTAAGAGCAGGAGTTTGGTATTTGACACGTTATATCTGAGCTGTGCAATAGTAACCCAAGCAGAAGTGTTGAGTGGATAGTTGGATGCATGAGTGTAGAATTCCGAGGAGTGACCCAGGATGGAAAGATAAATTTGAGGTCAGTGGGTGATCGGTGCTATTTAAAGCCATGAGACTGGATGAACTCCCCACAAAAGTGTGTAAATAAAGGAGAGAAAATGTCCAAGGACCAAACCTCAGGACACTGCCATTTTAAAAGGTCAAGTACAAAGAAGATGGAGAGGCTGGGTGTGTTGGCTCACACCTGTAATCCCAGCACTCTGGGAGTCTGAGGTAGGTAGATTGCTTGAACTCAGGAGTTCGAGACCAGCCTGGGCAAGATGGTAAAACCCTGTCTCTACCAAAAATACAAAAAAATAGCCAGGCATGGTGGCGTGTGCCTGTAGTCCCAGCTACTTGGGAGCCTGAGGTGGAAGAATCACTTGAGCCAGGGAGGCCAATGTTGCAGTTAGCAGAGATCGCACTGCTGTACTCTAGCCTGGGTGACAGATCAAGACCCATCTCAAAAAAAAAGATGGAGAAGGAATGGCCACTGAGGGAGGAGAAAACCGATAGAGTTGTTGTCCTAAGAGCAAAGTGAAGAGTAAGTAGCAAGGAAGATGGAGTGATTCACTATCATAAATATGGTTGATAGGTCAAATACAGTGAGGACTCAGAATTGCCATTTACATTCCAGGAAGCTCAACATATAATCTCTTGAATCAGACACTCTAGGTTAAATACTGGTTCTGTCGCTCACTGTGTGGCCTAAGAGAGACCCTTAAGCTCTCTAAATACTGGGAAAGGGTGGGACTGAAAATCTTTCTGATCTTTAGCCTCAATGAAGAGGAAAAAAAATCGTTTGAGAACCATTCTAATGACTGACCTGCTAAAGCAGTATTAATGCTTCCTAGGTCTCTATAGGGATTCACATAATTTGATTTTAACACAAACTTTGACAAAAGTTTAGAAAGATGGATGCTCTTAATTTTCCTTGCCAACTCTTATTGGTGAAAATTGAGGTGTTGAAAATTACTGTATCTACTCCAGCCTGGGTGACAGAGTGAGACCTCCATCTCAAAAAAATAAGACAGAAATTACTAATTACTGTGTGTATACACACACACACACACACACACACTTTCTTTACGGGGTTTCCATCTCCCATCTCATTTCAGTCCCCATCCCATTGTATGGTCAATTATTAGTTATATCTGACAATTTTTTTTTTATTTTCCAGTTTTGCTTCCACACCGAACTGACTGCTAACCTGTCTCACATTTCCTGTGAAAGGTGTATATGTGTAGTTAGTACACACACACACACACACACACACACACACACATATTCCTATATAGAAATTCCAAAAAACTCATAGATAGATAGATAGATAGATAGATAGATAGATAGATAGATAGACAGACAGAGTGTGAAAATAGTAGAAATGCATTTCTCCCTCATCTGGTTATCCTATCAAAGAATATGAGCAAATATTGAGGCAATTAGAGTTGAATTTCTTCCTCCCAAAAACATCTTTTCTACCTTAAACAATCAGTGAAGACTGGCTGAAAAGAGATTCCAGTCTTTATTTAGACTATTCTTTACGGGGTTTCCATCTCCCATCTCATTTCAGTCCCCATCCCATTGTATGGTCAATTATTAGTTATATCTGACAATTTTTTTTTTATTTTCCAGTTTTGCTTCCACACCGAACTGGCTGCTAACCTGTCTCACATTTCCTGTGAAAGGTGTATATGTGTAGTTAGTACACACACACACACACACACACACACACACACACTCGAAACAGGACTATGTGAATATTTCTTGCTCACCTTGTAATGAAAAATTCTATGGATGGACATGTAATACACAGACAAACAGTTTAGTGGTTAAGAATGCAGAATTGAGACAAACTGGCCAAATTTGAATGGTGCCTACGCTACTTACGAGATGTGTGACACTGGCAAGTTTTTTCACATCTCTGTGTCACAATCTCATCAACTAAAAACCAAGGATAATGACAATAAAAATCTCATAGGTTTGTTGTGAGGCTTAAGTAAGTTAATATATAGCAAGGGCTCAAAATAGATACTAGCACAAAAAATCAGCATTCAGTTTGCGTTAACTTTCATAATGGTGATGAAGATGATGATAATTAAGATGGAGATAATGATAACAGTGATTATGCTGCTGGTGATGATAAAGATGGAAAATCAGATCTCTACCACCAGCTGGCGGGGTTACCTGGGAGTACATCTTTTAACCTCTTGGTGTCTGTTTCATCATCTACAAAATAAGCAAGTTATGTTCGAAAAATCTAAAAGAATGTGTTTTAAGTAGCTAACTTCAAATGTTTTTATTAGGAATTTTCTAAGTTAAGAAAGTGGATCAATGGAGAAATGAGGTGGTTTAAAAAAAAAAAAAAAAAAAAAAAAAAACAACTCTGCTACCTAAAATATCTCTAACTTTTGTTTTGTTTTTTACAGCTTCCAGCAAGAAATGCATCCCTGATCCTATAGCTATTGCATCTCTCTCCTTTTTGGCCAGTGTCATCATTGAGCATTCAAGATCAAGCTAGTATGGTCTCAGATGAGAAGACACATGGAAACTTGAGAAATAAAAGGGAAAGTTAATGAAAGATGTTAGTGAAATCTCATTCACCAGCACTAATGGGTGTTCATGCATGTTCCTAAGACATTACAAAAGTTAAAATTTAAACTCATACGTTAATTTATAGAGAACTTGATGGCAAATTTAAGTCTTCATAGCAAATTTAAATATTAGGAAAACATAAGGGTATGTGTGAAGGTTAACAGAGATTATGAGAGGAAAAAAACACTGATTACAAACAAATATCAGCGATATAGTGAGGTCTCATTACATGTAAACTAGCAGATGCAGAGAAGTATAAATTGTTGAATTGCATAGCTGGAAATGTTCTCTAACGCTTCCCTCAGGTAGTAATTTAGGTAGAGACATAAGGGATTGTTTAACCTGATCACGATCACTAAAGACCCTGGGATCAGGCTAAATGGAGTAAAGATGTGTGCTAACTCTGTAATTTTGGATTTTGAAAGTCCATGCTCCTTATCCCTTCTGAGATTTGGATAAGAAGCAGCAAAACTGAAAATCGGTCCATCTATTTACTCTCCATAGGACTTCCTGAATGGCCTATGTCATGATCAAAGAAACAGAATGGGGAATAAGCTACATAAAATTACCTGGCAGGGAGTTCAGGCATCTCTGTACTATCATTCTTTACATTGGGATTTGAAACTAACAGGGCCAAATCACCTCTGTCACCTAGTTGCAGTAGCCTCTACAGTCAATAAAAGGAAATAATTTCTGCCAGGCATGGTGGCTCACCCCTGTAATCCCAGCAGTTTGGGAGGCCGAGGAGGATGGATCACAAGGTCAGGAGTTCAAGACCAGCCTGGCCAGCATGGTGAAACCCCGTCTCTACTAAAAATACAAAAATTAGCCAGGCATGGTGGTGTGCGCCTGTAATCCCAGCTACTTGGGAGGCTGAGGCAGGAAAATTGCCTGAACCCAGGAGGTGGAGGTAGTGCAGTGAGCCAAATTCACACCACTGCACTCCAGCCTGGGCAACAGAGTGAGACTCGATCTCAAAAAAAGAAAAAAAAGAAAGAATTTCTACAAACAGACAATTTATGTGACTTGCATAAGATAGGGTCTTTGGCAGTTTGGTGGCTACCTAGTAGACAGTCCTGGGGGCGTGGCTCCGGGAGCAAGCTTTTCCAGTGAGCATTGATGAGTCAGTAATGACATGCTATGTTGGGAAAAGCCAACCAACATCTTAAGTACATTTTTCCTGTGCCATAGAAATGCATGTATTGAGCCATACTATGTACAAAGCACTTTGGGCATTAAAAGTTGAGAACACTAGGCCAGATCTCTCGTGAGTTTACAATCTCTTGGGAGAAATTAAGAACATAAGCAAGCCACAAGTGAAAGGCCAAAAAAAAAAAAGGTGAAAATCAAGTTTTCTGTTCAAAACAATTCAAAAGAAAGATTTCTTCCAACCTAGGCAAGAAGAGACAGCTGGAAGGCTTTAAGTAAGAGGCTGCATTTGAACCAGTCCTTAGGGCTCTAGCCTGGGAGAAGGGGTGAGCGGAAGGAGAAAAAAACAAGAAAGAGTATGTGCCAAGTGTGTAGTGCCCAAAACAAGGCCAAATATTAAATATTAAATATTAAATGCTTGAAGCTGAGACAGAAATGTGATTCCTCTGGCCTATGGTTAGATAAAGCTTTCTATCAGAGATGAGGTTTTATTTAGAGGAAAGTAGAAAATAGAAGCAGATACAGAATGATCGATGTATGTACAGCATAAGGTCAGGGAGCAGACAGGTCTGGCAGAGAGTGAGGGGTAATGTGGGCTGGACAGGCAATTGGAAGCCACTCAGTGAAGCTAAAAAGTCAGCCAAAAGCATTTGATTTCCATGAGAAGTCATAATTTTCTGAGTAAGACAATTCTCCTAAAGCGTTGACTCTCCAGGCACAAGCAGCAACAGCATCCTTTAAGAACTCGTTCGAAATGAGAATTTTAGACCCTGATCCCAGGCTACAGAATCAGAAATTGAACAGTCTGTTTTAATAAGTCTTCTAGATGATTCTGCTAAACACCAACATTTGAGAACACTGTGACTTACATGATTATGATCCTTAGGGTTGTTTTAATTATGCTTTAAGATGAAACATAATATTTAGAAACATCCTCAAATGTAATATCACTTTGTTTATATTCTTCTTAGTGACTGACATTTCAAACAGGCTTTCTGAATTATTTATTTTTATTTTAATAAAGCAAAACTACAGGTAAATGTTTTGCCAGATGACTTTCGTGTACTATGTTCTAACATACCATGTTTGGCACCAAAAGATCTTACAAACCGCCATGAAAACCATAAGATTTGAATTAGTTTTCTGACAGAAATGAACAGCTCTGTTGTATCCCTACTTGTCACTGGCTTTCTTAAACACAGAAATATTCATTTCCATAGTCTTTATGGCTTTTTGGAGAATCTCTAAGATTGGTCCCATAGCCTTGACAATTTGTTCCAACAAATCTGCTGCTGACTCTATGGGATTTTTGGAATCCTCAGTTTTTAGTGCATCCTGCAGTTTTTTCAAGGTGTCTATCATAGTGACTTTGGAAGAATCTGGACTCCTGGTTCTCTCCGATGTGGTGACATCTGATTGCTCTTTGGTGTCTTCTGTATAGAAGTCACTTAATTGAAGATTCATGATGGGGAATTTCATCAAGTGTGAAAGAGAAGATTCCAAACTCCCAAGGATGTTACTGCTGTTTAGCGCAGAGATGATGACTGGTGTATGGGCACTTTGGAACACTTCTTTAGCTGACTGATGCAACTCCTCTACATTGGTACCCTTCTGAAACACAGAGTACATGGCCATTGCAACCTTGGAACCTAAAGACTCCTTTTGAATTTTGTCATGTTTTGCATCCACTACAGATTGCATCTCCTTAAAAATTTTGAGCATTTGCTCAAAAAAATCCTTAATGTTACTATTGTTTTTCACAGCCATCAAAAGGATTTGAGTATTCATACTGCGGTTAAACAACTCAGTCAGTGTGTTTGTGACAGAAGCAAAATCTTGTACATGAAAGAAGAACATTTTGGCAGCTTGAATCAGTCTCTCTTTATCCTTTTCTGACTCTGAAGACATCTCTTCAACAAAGAAGTTTCAGCACTGCAAAGCAAAGCAGTAATCCCAATGAAAACTAAAAGTCGATTTGGCAACCATAAAAAACTGAAAGTATAGTCTAAATATGAGGATAACTCCTGCCAAGGGCAGGAAAGCTATACAAACATTAAAACAAAAATGATACTTTGCTTCATTAAAAAAAATCACAAAAATAATTAAAACAGAGTAGAACAGGGTTTTATCACTGAATTTATACCACATATCAAATACTGTATGCTGGATCCCAAATATATGGATAGATTCACATACTGAATTACACTACACTCAGGGATATTACCCTTGATAACTATTCAGTGTAGTGAAAAATATTGGATAAATCTTTACAAATTACATAGAGGGTCTCTGGTTCCAGTTAAGGTAGACTAAGCACACTCCATCCAATCTTTCCTACTGATTACAACTAAAAATCTGAACTGAATATATAAAATCCCTATGAGATAATGCTGAAAGCTAGATGACAAAAGACCAAGGAAGTAGGGAGTACGGCATTGAAAGGACAACAAAGCAATGAAGCTCTCTGACTTTTTGTTTGAGGGTGGGTGTTTCGTTGTCGTTGTTGTTGTTTGTCTTTTCCTCCTTCCTATATATCCCACCTTGGGCTCTAGGACCGCCTGGAATTAGAACTGTGAACATGCCCAAACAGGGAGAGCTCCAAAAAAACCCTATTCTGCCTAGCAAATCAGGAGCAGGGGCCTCTGCCGGGTAGATCCCTTTTGATCTAGTTGCTGGCAGCAAAATGGTAGCCCCCCACCTCCACCAACCTAGCCCTCTGTCTGCCCTCAACTAGTCATGAGCAGGAGGCAGCCCCAAACACTTCTGACTTCAAGTGCTAGGAAGTAACAGCAGTGCCACCCACCCCCATCCCCTACTCCCCACCCCACCCCTACACACATCTCACAAGCACAGCAGAGGTCAGTCAGTCCTTTGCCCCCACCCCTGCCAACTGTCAGTGAAAAGGCTGTCCTTATGGGGTGGACCCCTTTTCACTCTTCCCACTCTACCCTGGGCAGAAGCAACTGTCATGCAGGGATGGTGGTAGTGATCTTGCAGGCTCCTTTCTCTCACTGCTTTGCCCCAAGATGAGAACCAGTTGCAATGGGAAGAGCTGAAACTGTTTTCCAGCCAGAACACCAGGAAAGGGAACCCCTGGGAATCAAATAGTGGGTGGCAGACCACAGAAAGAAGCAAAAATTATAACCAAAAAATAGCACTGCTGGGATTTTCAATACACGTAGACACAATGTATATGACAATTACATCATAAAGGAGAGAGGGTAAGGAGACTTATGTAGCTGAAAGACTTCTTGATTTCACTTGAAGTGATAAAATATTAATTCTAAGCAGATTGTGTGAAGTGTGGAAGTATATTATAATCTCTAGAGTAGCCACTGAAAACAGAGCAGGAAACAATGGGGCCATGGAAGCAGAGATGGGGGTGATGTGGCCCCACATGCAGGGCTGATGATGGCCACCAGAGCTGGAAGAGGCAAGGAATGGATTCTCCCTCAGAGCCCCCAGAGGGGCAAGGGCCTGCTTGACTTCAGCCTTCCAGCCTTGAGAACTCTGAGAGGGTACATTTCTGTTGTTTAAAATCACTAAGTTTGTGGTAATTTGTGATAGCAGCCCTAGGATACTAATACAGATTTTGGTCAATAGGCAAATTAAAATGAAACTTCACAATTATTTCAGTAACTACTTATATTACTCAAAAGATGGCTTGAAAAGGAAAACAGAGAAATTTTAAAAACAGAACAGAAAAACAGAAAACTAATAATAAATGTTACACTTAATCTAAGCATATCAATAGTTACATTAAATATGCATTTCTAGAACTAATAACTAAGTTTCACAAGGTTGAAAAATACAAGATCAAATGTACAAAATCAATTGTATTTCCATATATTAGCGATAAAATAAAAATCAGAAATTATAATTAAAACAATGACCTTTACAATATCATTAAAAATATGAAATATTTATAGATAAATCTGACAAGAGAGATGAAATAGCTCTACACTTAGAACTGTAAAACATTGCTGAGAAAAATTAAGGAAGACCTAAATAAATAGAAAGATATATATTGTTAATGGACCAAAACAGTCAATATTGCTAAGATGTCAGTATTCCTCAAATTAATTTATAAAAACAACACAATCCCAATAAAAAACTCCAGCAGCTTTTCTGATATATATAAAAGACAATAAATGTTCTCTTAATAGAATTAAAATAGAAGTCAACAAAGAAGATACACGAAAAACTACAAAATATTATAAATTAACACACCCTTAAATAATCAAAAAAGTCACAAAAATATAGAAAATATTTTGAACTGAATGAAAATGAAAATATATCAAAATCTGTGGGATGAAACTAAAGCAGTGCTTAGAGAGAAATCTGTAGATTAAGTGTTTATATTAGAAATGAAGATATAAAATGAATAATTTTAACTTCTATCTTAAGTTAGAAAAGAAGGAGCAAATATTCAAAGTAAGCAAAAGGAAATAAAGAGTAGAAATCAGTGAAATTCAAAACAGAAAAAATAGACAAAATCCAATAAAACTAAAAGGTGTTTCTTTGAAAAGAAAAACCAATAAAATTGTTAAACTTTAAGCCAGATTGACCAAAAAAAGGAGAGAGAACACAAATTACCAACATAAAGAATGAGATGTCACTACTGACCCTACAGACATAAAAAGGATAATGAGAGAAAACTATAAACAACTCTGTGTGCACAAATTCAACAATCTAAATGAAATAGACCCATTCCTTCAAAGACACAAGCTATGAAAACTCACCCAAGTAGAAACAGAAAACTTGAATAAACCTATTTTTCTTAAAGAAATTGTATCTGTAGTTAAACACCTTCTAGAAGAGAAAATTCAAAACACAGATGGTTTCAGTGGTGAATTCAAACAATCATTTAAAAAAGAATAACAATTCTACACAATATCCTCCAGAAAACAGAAAGGGAGACTAATTCATTTTGTTTTTTTTTTTTGAGATGGGAGTCTTGCTCTGTCCCCCAGGCTGGAGTGCAGTGGCCTGATCTCGGCTCACCGCAAGCTCCGCCTCCCAGGTTCATGCCATTCTCCTGCCTCAGCCTCCCGAGTAGCTGGGACTATAGGCGCCCGCCACCATGCCTGGCTAATTTATTTTTGTATTTTTAGTAGAGACAGGGTTTCACTGTGTTAGCCAGGATGGTCTCAATCTCCTGACCTCGTGATCCAGCCACCTCAGCCTCCCAAAGTCCACGGGAGAATATATCTCAACTCATTTTATAAGGCTACCATTGTAGAAAAATAAGAAAACTCTAGACCAATATTCCTTAAGAACATACACATAAAAATCCTCAACAAAATATTTTCAAATCCAATCCAAAAATGTATAAAAAGAATAATACATCGCACCCAATTTAAGGTGTATCCCAAAAATGTAAAGTTGGTTCAACATTAAAAAATCAAACTAAACAAGAAAAACCACATGATCACATCAGTAGATGCAGAAAAGGCATTTTTAAATATTCAATATCCATTCATAATTAAAATTCTTAGCAAACTAGGAATATAAGAAAATTTCCTTAATCATAGAGGGGGTCTTACAAAGAACCACAGCTAACATAATAAGAGACTAATTGTTACCCCTCAGGACCAGGAATTAGTCAGGTATGTCCACTTTCACCAGTTCTATTTAATATCATACTGGAAATCTTAGAAAGTGACGTAGGACAAGAAAAAGAAAATATTCAAATTGAGGAGGAAGAAATAAAACTACCTCTGTTTGTAGACATGATATCTACATATAAAATCCCAAGGAATCTACACAAAAGTTCTTAGAGCTATTAGTAATTTTAGCAGATGCAAGGTCAGCATTCAAATATCCACTGTTTTCTAATCACTAGGAATGAACAATAGGGAACCAATCATTTTTATAAGTATCATTTGTAATACTCTCTCAATAAAATCTTAAATATAAACCTAAGAATATATGTGCATAATCTGTGCACAAAGATTTAAAAAAAATTCTGAAGTAAAAAAAAAAATCAAAGAACATGTAAGTAAATGGAGAGACAAACTCTGTCCATGAATTGAAAGACCCTATAAAGCAAAGATGTCAACCCAAACTCTGTCCATGGATTGGAAGACTTATGTAGTTAAGATGTCAATTTTTCCCAAATTGCTCCACAGAATTAATGCAATCACAATAAAAATACCATCAAGATTCTTTATAGATGTAGAACAGTGAATTCTAGAATATATATGTAAATGTAAAGGAACAAGAATAGACAAAGATTTTTCTAAAGGAACAGCTAGAAGACTCATACAATCTAATATTAAGATATACTACAGTAATTGAGACAGTATGGTATTGGTGATGTGATATGTAGATGAACCTAACAGAATAGAAAGTCTAGAAAAAGACCCACAAATGTGGTCAATTGATTTTTTTTTTTTTTTTTTTTTTGAGATGGAGTCTTCCTCTGTCACCAGGCTGGAGTGCAGTGGCACGATCTCAGCTCACTGCAACCTCTACCCCCGCCCCTCCGGATTCAGGCAATTCCCCTGCCTCAGCCTCCCAAGTAGCTGGGACTACAGGTGCGCACCACCACACCTGGCTAATTTTTTTGTATTTTAGTAGAGACGGGGTTTCACCATGTTGGCCAGAATGGTCTCGATCTCCTGACCTCGTGATCTGCCCACCTTGGCCTCCCAAAGTTCTGGGATTACAGGCATGAGCCACCATGCCTGGCCGGTCAGTTGATTTTTAACGAAGATGCAAAGGCAATTTAACATAGAACGTTTAGGTGTTTTCACCGTAGAAGAAAACATAGGCAGTACCATTTAGGATATAGGTATGGGCAGAGACTTCACGACAAAAATGCCAAAAACAATTGAAACAAAAGCCAAAATTGACAAATGGGATCTAATTAAACTAAAGAGCTTCTGCACAGCAACAGAAATTATCATCAGAGTGAACAGGCAACTTACAGAATGGGAGAAATTTTTTGCAATCTACCTACCTGATAAAGGTCTGATATCCATAATTTACAGGGAACTTAAATTTACAACCCCATCAAAAAGTGAGCAAAGGATATGAACAGACACTTCTCAAAAGAAGACCTCTACACGACCAACAAATGTATGAAAAAAAAAAAAAGCTCAACATCACTGGTCATCAGAGAAATACCAGTGAGATACCATCTCATGCCAGTCAGAATGGAGATTATTAAAAAGTCAACAATAGATGCTGGCAAGGGTGTGGAGAAATAGGAATGCTTTTACCTTGTTAGCGGGAATGTAAATTAGTTCAACCACTGTGGAAGACAGTATGGCAATTCCTCAAGGATACAGAACCAGAAATACTATTTGACCCATCAATCCCATTATTGCGTATATACCCAAAGGATTATAAATCACACTACTATAAAGACACATGCACATGTATGTTTATTGCAGCACTATTTATAATAGCAAAGACTTGGAACCAACCCAAATGCCCATCAATGATAGACTGGATAAAGAAAATGTGGCACATATACACCATGGAATACTATGCAGCCATAAAAAGGAATGAGATCATGTCCTTTGCAGGGACATGGATGAAGCTAGAAGCCATCATCCTCAGCAAACTACCACAGGAACAGAAAACCAAACACTGCGTGTTGTCACTCATAAGTGCGAGTTGAGCAATGAGAACACATGAACACAGACAGGGAAACAACACACACCAGGGCCAGTTGGGGAGTGGGGGGTGAGGGGAGGGAACTTAAAGGATGGGTCAATAGGTACAGCAAACCACCATGGCACAGGTATACCTACGTAACAAACCTGCACGTTCTGCACATGTATCCTTTTTTTTTTTTTAAGAAGAAATAAAGAAAAACACACACAAAAAAGAAATAACAACAAAAAAAGAAAGTTTAGGGTTTTTCAACGAATGGTGCTGGAAAAGCCTGATACCCATATGCAAAGACATAAAGCTTGATTTTATGTCATACCATATACATACATAAATTAACTCAAAATGGGACATGAATATAAAAACATAAAACCATAAAACAGAAGAAAATCTTGTAATTTTTGGTTAGCTGATTAGTCCTTTGATATGTATGATACCAAAAGTATATCCATTAAAGAAAAAACGATAAATTGGCCGGGTATGGTGGCTCATATATTGTTAGATTTATATTTAAGTATTTATATTTAAGTATTTTATTTTAGTGTAATCCCAACACTTTGGGAGACCAAGGCAGGCAGATCACTTAAGGCCAGGAGATGGAGACCAGCCTGCCCAACATGGCAAAACCCCGTCTCTACTAAAAAGTACAAAAATCAGCTGGGTGTGGCACACATCTGTAATCCCAGCTACTTGGGAGGCTGAGACACGAGAATCGCTTGAACCTGGGAGGCAGGGGATGCAGTGAGCCAAGATGGCACCGCTGCACTCCAGCCTGGGCAACAGAGTGAGACTCTGTCTCAAAAAAAAGATAAAAGAAAAGAAAAGAAAAAGAAAATGTAAAGACCTGATCAGCAATTTCAAATGTCGCAAGTATGATAAACATTGTAAATTATTATGTTTACTCATTACAATGTCATTGGCAATGCTAGAAAAGCAATTTTGCAAGAGGCAGGAATATGTGCAGAAGCTAGATTATAAATACTGGAAAATTGATGGAGAAAATGAAGTAGAGGCAATGCATGTACACTACCCAATTGGAAAGTCTAACTGTGAAAAGAGAGATAAAGGAGGCTATTGGGTCAAAAAGGTGATTATTTTTAGGTTTGCTTGATTTTTTTTTAAGAGCAACATTCATAAGTGCTGGCGAATTGTTGAAACAATCATAACTGAATCAGGCAGATTATTCAGGATCATGGAATATATGCTTTTTGAGCAGAGTTTTTTAGGAAAAGAAGGGGATGAGCTTTAGAAAAAATGGGAAAAGAAAGCATTCTAAATAAAAGAAACTATCAAGTGAGAGCTACATGCAGATAAGTTTGGAGATATTATTGCTTTCACTCTCATTTCCCACCACTGTCAATCCAGCAGTGAAACTTGCCAAATCAGCCTTCCTGATTCCCTAAAACCACCCTGACTCCAAGATCTACACTAAGAAAATTTGCCCCCTTCCTACAGTTCAGTTCTGACTATTGATTTGATGGCAATACTGGCTTTAGTAGTCAAGAAAGATTTAAGAAGTTCAAGTTTTCAACCTGAGAAACTGATTGCAGAAAAAAGAAGTTCAAGTTGATGAGGGGGCTCTGTATGAAGTCAATATTGCTTCTAGTTTTTCTCTAATAATTCTTTTGCGTTGTTATTGTTTATCCCTAATTTTGGCAACTCCACTTAGGCTACTATGTGGTAGGAGAGAAAGGAGTGGATGAGTAGGCAATAAATGTTAAGAAGGGTAGAAATAGGAGAGAAACAAACACCTTAGGAACAAGTGGGTTAAATGGCTTCAATAGCCTCTTCAGAAATAAAACGCAACTGTTTTAAGACAGGGTAAGAGACAGACATATTTTTTCTAGATACTGTAGGTAATGGGATTGGTGACTCATGCTTTATTGTCCATACTTACTAATCAAGTTTACATAATGTACCCTTCCTGAAATCCAAACCTCCAAATATTGCCCCATAATAAAAAGAATTTTTTTAATAGTTCACTATTACCTACAGAATGAAATACAATTTCCTAGCATGACATTTAAGGCTATCTACAAACTGTTTTCAATTTTCCATGACTTACGTTCCCTTAACTGCTCCCACTTACACCTTGTATCACCAGCATGGCGGATTTTGTTCCCTGAAAATGTTCTACAATTTTGCTCTCAGTGTTTCCTCCATCTGTATTATCTCCTCTATACCGCCATCCTCCCCAAACATCTGTTAAAATCCTACTTAACATCCATACCTAGTTCAGATACACTGGCCACACGTTCCTACATGGTGGGGCTCTGGATACATCAAGGCAAGATGATCCACTGGGACAAAAGTAGAAAAGTGACCCCACTTAGCCCTTCTTTAGGATCACTGGGCAGCATCTTTAGATTTTAAGGTCTCCTGTCTGCCTGTCTGGCATTTTGATTCTGTATCCTGTACCCACCCATTCTCCTCTCCCCTCCACCAGGAGATACTGTTGTTAATATAAAGAAATAATACTATTTCATAAGATTTTGCCACATATCAGCCACTATGGCAATTACTTTATAAACATTATCCCATTTAAACCTTCTGAAAATCCATAAATTATTAAGTAATACTCATATTACACCAATGGGAAAACTTAGGCTAAGTGACTTTCTTAGGGTTATATGACCAGTAAGTGGTACTTGGAGTACACAAAACCAGGACTGTCTGAGGGTAAAGCCTGCTGTCTTTCATTAAGTTACGCTGGGGCTGAGTGATTTCCCTGTGACTCAGGTGTCTTTGCTGCGGAGGAATTAACAGATCTGAAGACAGAAGCCGGAAGAAGCAGCAGGGAAAACTCTGATCTGAGCTTTCGGAGAAAAGACTCGAGTTGGACTTCAAGGTTTTTATACTGTCAAGACAATTCACCAACATAGGAAGAGAAAGAGTGATAAAGAGGGGAATTCCTAGCTGGAAAGAAAAGAAAAAAAATTGGATGCAAGTAACTGCATTTATACCTCTTGAGAATTTAAATAATCAGCAACAGTGAGAGGTACAAATGCAACAGAAGCTAACAGAAACTTAATATCTGGAACAGTTGACAAGATAAAACCCCAAAATCTGAGAGCTGCAATCAAAGAGCCATCTTCTCTACTGAATTGAATTAGCTCAGTTATATAGCGCTTCTCAAAAATAAAAAGTCCATTAAAGAACAGAAATTTAAAAATAAGTTTTACACACTATTAGTCTTTCAATTTATATAACTTAATACCATAGACTAAGTTTTTATCAATACGAGATAAAAGAATCCTGAGGTCCAAGCCACGTAGAAATAGCCTATAAACCAGACAGGCAGAGGGACCCAGCAGAGACCAGCAAAGTCTGTAAGTCATCACATTCCACCAGAAATATCCAGAGGAAACCAGATGAAAAAGCACGTTAACAATACTCCTCAACAACTGCTGGGACCACGGAACTCAGAAACACAGCAAGGTAAGCAACGTGGATATTTCTATTGATATAATACTCTGTTTCTCAATAGGAGGAGGAATTTGAAACAGCCCGTCAGTCTTGAATCCTAACCATAAATAAAATAAAGTAAAAAAAGCAGCTTTGTTATAAGAGGATCCCACGACATGTTCCTTGTGATTTGGAAGGAACCTTCCCTGGTGCCTTCTCTGAAGACAGCAGAGAAGGAAGAAAATTAACAATTTCTAGGACTGACTAAGTCAGAGTGGAAGAGAAGCAGTAAAGACATCAATTTTAAGAAGGATTAAGGATAAAATGATACCTGTGTGAACGTGTGAAGTTTATATGGATAGTACCATTTCCTTCTATGCCACAAAAGAATGAATGTGGAATCCAATACTGGTTAATGTATAGTACTTATAGTACTTTCATAAATTATGTTCTATCTAAATATCTCTGAGCATTTTCTGTGTGTCTCCAAACAGGCCGTTATCATCTTGAGGGCAAGGAACACTGTCTTTTTCAAATGCCTCAAGGGATACAGCAGAGGTTTCACCAGTGAACACTTGATAAATGCTGATGAATGACTTTAATATTCTTCTTTCTGCTCAGAAACATTTTTTAAAAGAATTTATATCAGAAAGTATATCATCACATCATGAGCAATTTTTGTTTTAATTAAAGGCCACAGTTTTTATTTGAATTAAAGGAGATTCAGAACTAGTTAGAAGCTGTTATTTTCTCCTGAAAAGCTCCTGATTTTACCTATACCCTATTTCCACACTCCTAAATTAGGGAACTGTGCATGATGGCAAAACCCCATTTGGACAGTGAAGAAAAGTGACAGCAAGAAGAAACGTAAAACCTCAGAGAGCACTAATGACTAAACATCAGAGGTTTAGACGGGGTCATATTTTCCTTTCTTTCTTTTTTAATTGTTATTATAAGAAAAGTTCAAACATACACAGAGGTAGAGACAATAATATAATAACTCCCATGTACCCATAACTCAGCTTTAAAAATTATCAAAACAAGGCCAATCTTTTTTCCTCTGTAACCCTACCCCACTATTCTTTCCAGATGATTTGCGAGCAAATCTCAGAGATCATTTCATTTCATCGTAAACATTTTCAGTTTGTATTTCCAAACAGGCAAGAACTTCTCTTTTTGAAATTTAACCTTACACTTTGCAAATCAACAATATTTAAGCAGGACTATCTTTGACTTGGAAAGATACCAGCACTATGCTTAGTGTCTGGATGACGGAATCATTCACACCCTAAACCTCCGCAACACACAGTATAGTCAGGCAACAAACTTGCATATGAACCTCCTGAATCTAAAATAAAAATTGTAAAAAATTTACAGCAGGATACCCAGTATCCTACTATAAAACTTTATTTGGGGTAGCACAGAAAAAGCTTTTGGAATGCAGTTTACGATACAGATCAAAAGTAATAAAAATTTAATTCCCATTACTTATGCCACTAATTATGTAATTCTTCTAGGTATTTATGCTGAGGAAATAATCCAGATAATGGAGTAAAAAAAATCTGTGGGTATCACAATGCTCATTAGAATATTATTTGTGATAGTGAAACAATTTTGGATTTATTAAACTACAGTAAAGATAGGGAATAGTATACGCAACCAATAAAATATTTTAAAAACTATAAATAGGGTAAAGTGTTAAGTAAATTAATATGATGAATTTTACTTATACTATTATGATAAATTTGTAAAGATACTTATGCATATAAACAAATTTTGAAAAGGAATAACAAAAATCAAAAATAAAATGGTAGGTTTATGGGTGTTTTTTCTCCTCTATTTAAAAAAGTTTGTATATTACTGGTAATAAGTATATATTAAAAAATTATTTGTTTTACCAAACCATTCACTTTTAATTTCTCCATAATATACCGTCTATCAAAGCACAAATCATATATTGCATTATCCATGAAGCTTTCTCTAATCATCTTGATATTAATTTCTAAGTTCACTAGCACTTGACAGTCAACGCACTACTGTTATTCACGAAGTATCCTAAAAAGTTTTATTTGAACATATGACGATCAATACATTTTCATTTTGTAAGGTGGTTCCTTTTCTGAAAAACTAAAACAACTGTATGGTGTCATTAAATAAACCTTAACTTTTAGATACAATTATCAGTATATTTCTACCATATCTTATATGCTCTTTAATCTTAAATGTTGACTTCTCAATTCAAAAAAAGTGACAAGGTTAGGTGCAGTAAGCATCCATCTCAAGCTAACCTCTGTCTCTATTTTCATTTCATAAGGTGTGCTGATCAATGGCATCAGCACTTTCAGATGTTTTTGTCATTTTTTAATAAAATAACAAGTCAAAAGTTTCCAGACTTTGTTTTAGCAACAGAACTCTGTCATCAAATAAAATTTTACCCACCCAGATCCCAAATGTGAAGAGCAAGAGAAAGCACAGCTGCCCCAGTCCAGCAAAGGCCCAGGTGAAAAACGGGAGTCCCAGAGACCAAGAGCTCCACCTGCTGGCTGGCAGTTCCCCAGCAGTTGCTCCAGGGCACTACAGAGCCCATTTCATGGATAACTACAGTAAAATATTCAAATAATAGCATAAACTCTGTACAAAAGTGGATGGTAATTCCCCAAGTGGAATTTTTCACTGACAGGAAGCACCATCATGTGATAATTCAAATTATGTAAAAGTTCAAACTTACCATAGAATGGGTGTAACCAGAGCTGGATTAAATATACTACTTGCTGCTGGTGCCACAATCTCTGAAAGTGACAGGTCGTCACTGAAAATGGAATAAGATGGAGAAAGTATATGGCACAGAACTCCTCTCGGGCACAATATTATGGGTTGTTTGTAAAATATCACTTGAGGCTTGCATGAGTAACAACTCTGACCTTTAAGAAGGGTGACTCCAAGTAATTGCAAGGCTTTTGTTTTGCTGAGTGAAGTTACCGCTTTGGGAGTCAGGACTAAATTGTTAAGAGCAATTATGAAAATACTGCACCCTGCCAATTATGGTTCTCCAAGTGGTGCCCAACCTCTCCTCAACTGTCAAGCACATATTTAAGAATATCTACCTGAAAGCTTACAAATTGTTAACCTTACTAGATGACTAAATGTCTCCATATGGCCACAGTGCCAATATATTATATATTAAAGTATGGGTTGTTTAAAACAGATTTGCACAAGTCAAATACCAACTATACCTTTAATTTTGTACGACATATTACTTTCAACTTGACATTATAGTTACAAATCTGTCTTAACTTCCTAACTAGATTAGAAATTCCAAAAAAGCAAGGACCATGTCTTTTTCATCTTTGTATGGTTTGCAGAGTGGTGCTAGCATATGACCTTACACGTGGTAAGTACTAACATACTAGACGAATTGTTAATGGATTAATAATTGCCTTCTTCACTAAGCTCTTCAAACTTCACCTATCCAAAACACAATTCAATGGTTTCACCTTCAATCCCCACCTCTCCTCTTCCTAATTGCCCAGTGCTCCTTATCTCATTTGGGGTGTAGAAATAACCTGGAGCTGTATTCAGAGCTGGAGCTCAGACATACCTGAGCAGGTGTGGTGGCAGGCCTGCTGAAGATATGTTAGCAGAAGAAAACCCTCCCCACTTCCTACCCTTAGGAAAAAAGCTAGGAAGGTAAGTCTGACTCAGAATAAAAGTCCTTTTTCATTATAAGGGAAACATAATTCTTAGCACATCATAAGGTTTCTTAGCCAAACTCGTTATTGGAACAAAGTCATGAACTGATATCTAGATCCTATGAAGAACAGTGTAAGAGTGCAAGTGCAAGAGCATGACTACTTAAAAGGAGGAAACACATTAGTAGTTGAAAACATACAGTGTCTTACACTTTGATTTCTAGTAAGACTGAACTTTTCCCACCATTTTATTAGACACTATTTTTTTGTACTATGTTCAGGGTTGTTTGCTCATTTATATATTAGATTGTCACTGCATTTTAAAAATAATAACAGTACTTTTTTTGCATTTTCCCCCAGCTTGTTTTCAGTTCTTTTTACATTGGCCATCTTTATTAGTCAAATTTTTGCATGTGATTTGTTTTTTTCATTGGTTTTAGGCTTATAAAGTCTTCCTCCATAGAGATATTTGAAAATTATCCATTTTCTTCTAGCTATTATTTAATTTTCTACATGTATGACACTAGCAACGTTGTTATTAATTTTTAACTACAAAGTCTAGCCCATGACTCAGGACCATTTATGGAGTAACAATTTTGATTATTATTGATTTGAGATTCTACAATTTATTATTATTAAACGGATAGAAGAGTCTGCTTTGGGGACTAATTTGTTCCATTAATTCACTGACTCTGTTTCCTGTACCATACTGTTTACTATTTTGTTGGGTTATAGTGTTTTAATACTGGGGGGAGAAGAGTTCTTTTTTTTTTTTTTTCTGAGAAAAATAAGGCTCACCTGTTCAGTCTTTCAGAAACATTCTACGACTAATTTGTGAAGTTGTGCTAAAAGAATGAGTTAACTGAAAAGGAGCTGACCACTTGGAAGCATTCTGCCTCCCATCCAGGAGGAAGGTTCATTTCTCCATTTGTTTATCTTGAGGTAGATAAAACCACCCACCTTTTCTGGAAACTATGCCTTCATATAATGGCATATGATAGCTGCTAGAGATATTTTCAACTTTTTCAGGATAAGGAAACTCCTCTCGCCTAACTGTCTGAAGAGGAATATAGCTAGTTTTCTTCTGTCAGTCAGAAACTAGAGTTTTCACTTCATAATGAGATCTGAAAACCGGGAGTCAAAAAAGACAAACATTTAATGGAAAATTACTAGAAGAAAAAATAAAATTCAAAGTCCAAATCTGTGCTTATCAAATTACAGTTTGCAACCCATTGTGTGTTTAGAGAATATTTACTGGATCCTCAACAAGCAATTTATTTAAAGGGAATTGGATTAGAGATTTTCTAAGTATTGTTTTGTGGAAGTGTGTGTCTGTTACACGTGTGCCTGCCTGTATATATGTGCATGTGTGCTGGATTTGAATCAAGGATAAAAATGAATTTCTGACCATGGTAGTTTATTTTGCCAGGAGGTTCCAGTGCATTTTTCTAAATCTAACAACATACATGGTTATTTATGTTTCTAAACAATTTCAGAAAAATTTTCCCTTTTCCATTTCCAAATTATATCCATATGATTTGGAGGATAGGTTATTTTCAGGTTTACTTTCTTGAAAGAAAAACATCTTCATTCCTTCATTCCATGCTTCTGAGGTTCCCCTCAAGCAGAATAAGAAATGTGGTGCTAGAAGACATAGGGTCCAAGTTAATTACGATGTTGTTTACTTAAAAAGAGACTGTGCCAGATTCCACATGGATATGGAGAGAGAACTCCAATTTTTCTCTCTTTTCTCTCGAGTTTAATTTTTTAAAAAAGTGCCAGCCACATAGAAAGGTTACTCAAAGTATGCATATTGAGTAGCATCGTGCTCTTACTGGCTCAAATTTAGATTTTTCACCCAAATAAACACAGAAGAACATGACTGTTTTCTCTAAATGGTACCATGGGCCAAAAGAACAAATGCTGAAGTCTCCTGTCAAGTTATTTTATTCATTCTATGATGTACTCTCACTACTTTTTTTTCTTTTTGAGACAGTCTCGCTGTGTTGCCCAGGCTGGAGTGCAGTGGTACCATCTTGGCTCCCTGCAACCTCCACCTCTGGTTCAAGTGATTCTCCTGCCTCAGTCTCCAGAGTAGCTGGGATTACAGGCGTGCACCACTACGCCTGACTAATTTTTGTATTTATAGTTCCTACCTTCTCCTCACATGAAATTTTAATCCAAAGAGTCTTGAATATATATTCTTATCACAAGAAAAAAATTTTTTAAAGATTCTAGCATGATATATATGTTGCCTTTGGATATCCCTTAGGTTTAGAAAACAAATAACTTGCCTGTAGAGAAATATAAAGTAATTTGAATATTTTAAGTGAAAATAACCAAGTATTGAAACACAAAAAAACAGCCCTGTAAATTCAGAGAAATCAGTCGGTAGGTGTGGTCAATGTGATGACTAGGGGTTGGAGAAACTAAGGAGCACTAGTAATCAAGAGCTAAGCATTTCAAATTGGGGTCTGTTTCAAATAAAAGTTATTAAATATTACCTAGAAATAATCATGCTTATTAATAAACAGATGCCTGATAAACATGAATATTTCCCACCACCACAAAATCTAATACCTTAATTTATCCATCAAAGGGTTGTATTCTGTTGCCTACATTTTCCATATACTGACTCCAAATTTCGTAACAATAACTGTTTTAAAGAACCTGCTGAGGCTGGGCACAGTGACTCATGCCTGTAATCCTAGCACTTTGAGAGGCCGAGGGGGTGGACTGCCTGAGCTCAGGAGTTGGAGACCAGCCTGGGCAACACAGTGAAACCCCGTCTCTACTAAAACACAAAAAACTAGCTGGCATGGTGGTGTGTGCCTGTAATCCCAGCTACTCAGGAGGCTGAGGCAGGAGAATTGCTAGAACCTGGGAGGCAGAGGTTGCAGTGAGCTAAAATCACGCCACTGCACTCCAGCCTGGGTAACAGAGTGAGACTCTATCTCTAAAAAAAAAAAAAAAAACTTGAGTGTTCTGAGGAATTCTCCTTACACAGCATCTTGCTTCTTTGCTATGCATGAAGAAAAAGATTTCCTAGTCCCTTCTACGCAGTTAGCAGACGTTTTTTAAGACTTTCAGTAAAAATTTACCATTTTATTTTTCAGCGATCACATTGGAAATATGGCCCAAAGTGACTTCCTCTACCCAGAGAACCCAAAGAGGCGGCAAGAAGTAAATCGTCTTCACCAACAGCTCCTTGATTGCTTATCTGACAGCTTCGATGTCACCAATAAGCTGACTGAGGTTCTAAATACGCACTTGGGGTGCAGGCTGGCCTCCATTGAGATGAAAAGAGACGGGACCATCAAAGAAAACTGTGATATCATCATCCAAGCCATTATGAAAATCCAAAAGGAATTGCAAAAGGTTGATGAAGCACTAAAAGACAAGCTAGAACCAACCCTCTATAGAAAACTTCAGGATATTAAGGAAAAGGAAACAGAGAAAATTGCAATAGTGCAAAAGGTTATTTCGGTCATCCTGGGAGAAGCTACATCTGCAGCCAGTGCAGTCGCTGTTAAACTTGTGGGCTCAAATATCACAACTGGCATCATTAACAAGTTGGTCACTGTGTTAGCTCAAATTGGTGCTTCTCTCCTTGGTAGTATTGGAGTTGCTGTTCTTGGCCTTGGCATAGATATGATTGTCCGTGCCATCCTGGGAGCAGTGGAAAAAACACAGCTTCAAGCAGCCATCAAAAGTTATGAGAAGCATCTGGTGGAATTCAAGTCAGCCTCAGAAAAATATAATCATGCCATTACTGAGGTCACCAATCTAGTGAAACACCAGATGAAATGAACAGCCATCTTATTTGCCACTGAAGTGTTTTTCTGCTTCCTTTTCAGTAACAGTGTTTGCTTCCTTGATTAGGTTCATCTTCTATAGGCTTCCAATATGGACTTAAATAGGATAAACAATTTGGAGAGGGAAATTGGGGATGTCAAGACTAGATGACTAGATGAGTTTAGAGCCAATGCCTGGATGAGTTGGTGCTAGACGCTATAAGGTAAAAAAAAATTATCCCACTGGATGTTTTCACACCCTGCTCTACCAGATCAACATTGGGGTATATGCTGTCATAGAGTAGCAAGTATAGAGGTTACTTTTTCCTTTTCTAATTTCATTAAAATTCTTAAATTTTACGTTGACTGCAGAGACTTTCATTTCTACCACCAGCTTCAAACATCATTTAGTTATAAGGGAACATACTTAGTAACTTCTGCCTAGACACAAACCCTAGGCCTTCAAATGAGACAGAAATACTATCATATTTTTGACCATCAGAGTAAATCTGTTTTTCGTAAACTAGAAGAGACTGAAAAATGATTTGTAACAATTTGCTTCAATTAGGACAGGAAGCAGATCTGTAAAAGTCTACTAATTACACAATGTAAACTGGATGGATTTGAAAATGGTAAAAATCAAAACTAAAAACATCAAGGTCCTGTTTCTGTAACTGCAATCAACCCTGACCAATTGTGATGATTAAATATCGCTCAAGTGAATGTTCAAACACTGAAACATTTAAAAGACAAGCAAGCAAAACACAGCTACACATGAATAAAATGCATTTAGGATGCAGAATAGAAGGTCACTACTCTCAAAGCATTTGTCATTTAAAGGAAAGTCATACTTTATTATGTTTTCAGAAAAATTAATATAATTTCATTTTCAACACTAGCAAAAAGGAGGCAGCTGCCTTTGATACGCGACGCATTAGGTGGGCCATTTCACTAATTACCTGATTTTAGAAAACGCCAAAGGCTATAGAGGCCTATTAATGGTTCAGCTGAATCTCTGCAGATGTGTTTGTTTTCTAAATCCTTTGCCAGTAAGTAATTCCCATGAGGACTCTTTTAGTCTATACTGACAAAATCATTAATATGCTGTTGATGCCAGACTGCGTTTGTTATAGTTGATTCTCCCATCCAAGTACAAGAAATGTATTGAAATAAAAACTGCTCAGCCTATCTTAATAATATTAGCTACAGGAAAAATTTTAGCTACATGAAAGACTTTAATATTTCCAACAAACAGTTTGTTTTCTCTTTCTCTTCTCGCATTGTTTTTCAAAATGAGTTGCAAAACTATGACCACTAATATGGTGTTAAGAAGAAAAAAAAAAAGTTGCAAAATATTACAACTTAGTTCATCTTCAAAATTCAAGATTATTTTCTTTTTTATGTGTTACCTGGTTTATCAGCTTTAACCTACCAGATCTTGTCATTGCTTTCCGACACTCAAATTCAGTCTAAAATCAAATCAAGAATTTCCTAACACAAAGGTAAGTTTAGGTATGGGACCGATCATATTACCTTCAAGGGCAGTTTAAAGATTCTGCCAAAAATTAATATGTATCTCCAACAATATTTTGAAATATTTATAACTGGTGGTAAGAATAGACTTCCTACAAGGGATAGTCTGGTTAAGATTAGAAATAACCAAGCGTATCCTCTAAGATAGTTTTTTAAATGTTTAAACTTACCTTTAAGGGAAATAAGTGGGGGCTGACTCAGGGAAAGAGGGGATAGAAGGTAAGGAAAGGGCAAAGGCTAGAGTTAAGTGAATAATCCCGTACGTAGAGTGACATCATAGAGGACTTTTGGCTGGTGAATAGACCAGTAGGGAATACGGCCAATATATATCAACCTTGCCACTCATAAACTTAAAACCGACTGCATATGTATCCCCGTATTTCTTCTTCAGAACACTACTAATAAATAATAAATCACCGCCCGTTAAGCAATTTGCGACTCTAATACGGGTGCTGATTTATTTGTTCAGGTGGTCTACAAATGTTCTGTTCTGCGCGTCTATTAAATTTCCACACGTACCAGACGCCCACATGGGATAACCTGATGCTTACAAAGCGGATTAAACTCAGTAGCAAATGTTATCTGGGTATTCGTTTACAAACGGAGACACCCCTAAAGGATCGCACCTGCTTGCGTCATAAGAAACATAAAAATCCAAAAACTAACGTAATTCCAAGAGACACAAAACGCGGAACGCTTCTGCATCTGCAGAATGTACCGTTCTCGGATAGGTCAACGCATTACGCCCCCAGCAACTAGGTCAGAATGCCTCCAACTTGAGAGACAGGACCGTCAGCCAATCAGATAGCAGCTATCTTCTTTCAATTGTACTAGACGAGCGCAATGAGGCGGGCTCTTAGCCGACAACCAACCAATGGAGTATTGTATGGGACCGGAAGAGACTCTGGTCCTGGAATTCTTGAGTATTCTCTATGGTTCTAGGGCCCAGCTGCGCTAAGAGACAGCGGGACAGAGGAATGGGAAATGACGTAAGGATTGCGGAGGGGCGCGAGGTTTCAAGATGGCGGTAGCTGAGGGGTAGAGCGAGAGGCCGAGTTGAAGGCCCTCACGAAGTGAAAGAGGCCGGGAATCGCCCCCTGCCCGCTTCTCGTAGTCTTGGGAGCACAGCAGAAGTGTGAGTGTATGGAGTTGCTCTACTTCTTTTCCTCATCTCTTTCGTCCCTTCCACGGCCCGCGCAGTGGCTTGGGGGACACCCAGTCCCTTTGCCCCGCTCCTCCTCTGCCCGGCTGGGGTCTCCCGGTTGCGGACTGTGGTATTCCAGGGCCTGGGGTGGCGCGGCGACCAGTGGTTACGCGGTTGGCATCGCCCAGGGCGGTTGGGGCCGCTTCCTATGCACGTTGATTGGTAGCCTTAGGTTTGACGTCTTGTACCTCGAGTCATGGTCGGTCAACCGTCACTATGGTTTCGGCAGTTGCTGGTGTTGCCTCCTTTGGTGGACCTGGACCCTATCCCATTGAAGCTTCTTTGGCTATTTACAGTTCCCCAACGGTTATTTGGCTTGATTTTTCCAGTCGCCCCCGCTTGTAGACAAAAAACTAATCTTTGCAGACTTAAGCTCCCGTATCTTCCGTAAAATTCTCTGTAATTCGTATCCGTTGTGTTTCATTTGTGGGGGAGGAGATTCAGAACATGAGCCCGCTTGAGAAAGGAAAGCACGAAAAACGCAGGCAATCAAAGATGGGAGAGCTTGTATTTGTACGAATTTTGCATGTTTTCCTCCTTCCCTACCTCCTACTCCCTGCTGCTCTCCCACCCACACCTCCCCCCCCCCAGTTTTTCTGAGAAGGAAACCACTTGACAGGGTGTATGGTAGCTAGGGCAGGAATATGGATCCATTATAAAGATTATAGTTAAATAGCGAGTCAAACATCACAAGATATTTTATTTGTAATCCCGTTGTATCATCAGAGCTTTGTTATAAAGTAATTGATGTCCCCATTTTTTAGATGAGGAAGCTAAAAATCAGAGCCTTTGACACCGCCGTCTTGAAGTAATTGCCACCAGAACAGCTATGAAACATCTAGCTTTCTGAAACCTCTGGCTTTCGGGGCAATTGGACACTTGGCGAAAGACACATTAACTGTAACAAACTGGTCTGAAAACCTTCCCTTTCTTCCCTTTAAAAAGTGTCTACTTGCAAAAGGAAACAAATTTGTCCACCTTTGTTACTGGAAAGAATGCTTCAAAAAATTAAGCCTCATTCTTTTGGAATAAGAGGAAGAAGTCATGTAATAGGGTACTGTGTTAATAAAAGTTTTAGCTTACAAAATATTTTTTCCTCAAACAAGAATAAGTATTCCCTTTAGTTACCTTAAGAAATATATATTGGGAGTCAGGTATTAGAAAAATATGTGTCTTAATATTTAAATTTTGGGGAGCTCTCAGTGTAGCACTAATTTCAAATACTTGCATTTTTAGTTGTGTTTTGAACTCTTGAGAGTCAAGCATTATATCTGAATTAAATATGCTTAAATGAATGAGTTTTTAGTGTCTTAGAAGTGTTGAGAATGTACAGCATACATGCCAAGAAAAACCATGGAGCGAGGCAAGGGTGAGGTGTTTGTTTTGAGCCTAGATCCATTACCCCCATTCCGTTCGTATTCTTCTTTTACAATTACGTGTTAATAAAGGGAGGTTATAGAAGAAGGACTAATGAATTCTGATGTTCATGGTTTGTGCCATATCGTTAAAGCATTTTCTAGTTTTTTTATCAGTTGACAAAGTCAGTGCTGTGATCCATAAGAAAAAAGATAAAGTAATGACTTGAGGATATTCAAAGTGGTCTTCACACTCATCACATTTCCAAAGAATGATGGAGATCTAAATTTTCATGGTCAAGAAACTTAATGCCATCTTTCTTGGACATTAAAGTCAAAACTAAGGAAAGAACAGTCTCACAGAATTTCTAATTAAAGGAATTTTTTTTTTCAGAGATTGGTAGGGACTAGAAAAAGGAAGAAATAAATTTAGGAGATATAAGCTATTTCTTTGTCTTCACCTCCACAGGTTTTTCTTTTTTTAATGAACAAGTAAACCATACAAATTGTCAACATGGGACGGAGATCTACATCATCCACCAAGAGTGGAAAATTTATGAACCCCACAGACCAAGCCCGTAAGTGTCCATTAGTGTGGAATGATGAAGTAGGAGAGTGTTAAAAATTGCACATATTAGGGAATTTATTTCTCTGTGGCTTAATTACAAGACCAGCAGTGATAGGAGGAATAAATTGTATATTCAGTGTTTGGATGGGAACATTAAGACGTTAAACATGCAAAGAAATTAGTACCCATATTTTAGTTTTCAGATTTGATTGACTTGCAAAGTAGAATTGGCTGAAAGTTTTCTTTTTGTATTTGAAATTTTGAGCAAATTAGTTTTGCGAGCCCTTGTTTCGCATTTTATGTTATCTTTTTCTTTCAGATTCATAGTTGTTTTTTATGAAACATTAAACAAAAATGTCTTGACATTTTTGGTTGTCATAATTAGAGGGATGCTCTTGGCATGTAGTGGATAGAGGCCAAAGATGCTGCTGTTTTACAGTGCATACTATAACTTCCCACAATAAAGAATTACCTGTATGAAACTGAAGGAAATGCTAATGTTCAAGATTCAAAAATTTTATTATATCTCCCTCTCTCCTTTTAAAGGAAAGGAAGCCCGGAAGAGAGAATTAAAGAAGGTATGATTTCAGAGGCATCTTATAAAACTTTAAGTACTATTTGGCACATCTTGTGGTTTGGGATTAGTGGGTTTCCGAATAACATTTCTAATATTTTCTAGAAAAGATGCTTTATGCTTTTTATAAAAACTGTAAGATATACTAAGCCAAACTTTACTATATTTAGGAACTGAAGTAACTTTGCAGAGAAGCTCACTACAAGTTATAATGCCATTTTTGATTACTTTTCCAGTGAGTTAAAAAATACTTTGGAAAATAATTCTTTTTTGTTATTTATTAAAACATAACTTTTAAAATCTACCAATGAGGATGGAAATAAACATGATGCTAGATCACTTTATCCATTTTCCTGATTAACTATTATGTATATTATATTAGCTTAAATATATATATTGGCTTATAATATTTATAAATATATTACCTTTCTTTTCCTGATTAGCATTTTCCTCTTAGCTGTTGAATTTGTGGCAAAGTACTTCAACAGAATAAGAAAGGATTTGCTTTATAGTATTGTGCTTTAATACATTGAAGCAACACAGATTTTAAATAATGTTCAGTTGTGTTTTCATGTTTAGCATTAACTTCTGCAAAATTTTAAAATATTCTTTAATTTTAGAATTTAGCTTCAACCTTTCCTTTTTTTTTTTTTTTTGGAAAAAATAAAAAAAACAACAAATTTTGGACTTCAGCTAGGAGAGGTTTTAGAACAAGGGGCAGGAACAATCACCCAAGGTCTTCAAGAACATAAGGGGTTTAAAAAAAGAAATTTAAAGTGTGTGTGTTTAAGTAACTGCTAAAGACCTCACAGAGCTCAAATAAATACTTTACTAAGAAAACACATCTTAAAAATAGCATTTCTTTATCTTTTTGACAAGTGTAAACGTTTTTAGGGCAAAAAATTACATAGCTGTTTCTGGTGGTCGAAACAAGTGATCAGAAGCCAAGGAGTTATTCTGTTCAGATTCTTAAAGCAAGTTGAAGTAAAACTCATGAGTGCCTGACTTCTTGACATCTGGCCTTCTTTTGTTTTTCTAAGAACAAAAAACAGCGCATGATGGTTCGAGCTGCAGTTTTAAAGATGAAGGATCCAAAACAGATAATCCGAGACATGGAGAAACTAGATGAAATGGGTAAGAATTTACAAACAGGCAGCTATAACAGTCTGACACATACAGAGGCAGGCAGGTAATGAGTGAAGCAGCATAGGCATAAGTAAAACAGAACAGCATGAGGACATTTGATGCTTGGATTTAATGTTAGTTTCAGGGAGACAAAATGGAGTGCTAGAGGGCGGTTGCAAACTGGAGACCCCATATACCAGAATAAGAGAGAAGTGATTATTTGGCTTTCAGCTAATTGTTATTATGAGATAACAGAAGCAGTTTGGCCAGCTTGGTTTTCAGGAGAAGACTTAAATCTGGTTTATGAAATAACCTTGCGTTTTTTGTTTGTCGTCTTTTATTTAATGTTGGCAACTATCATGTAAATCTATGTATTAGACCCCTGTCAATATAAGGCAGTTTCCAATTTTTCCAGTCAGAATATCCAAAAAGATACTTGACTGTTTAGTAAGGATATAGGAAAAAAATCATCAAATACCTAAAACCAAATATATAAAATACTATACCAGGATTCTCTGCCTTTTTCACATTTTATAGAATAATTTTATTCACTCTTCATATGCATTGTAAGTATCGCTGCTTTGTTATAACTGGAATCACATGAAATAGCTGCATGTTATCTTTTTTTGGATCTAAGTTTGAAAATCGTTGATGTTGCCACTGGAAATTTTATCCTAACCCACAAATATCCTTTCTGTTTCATACTGGAACATGTAGAATATTTTGTTTTTTTAATAGAAGTTTTCAGACATGCAGAAAATAAAACAGTCTAGTTAACGTCCATGTGCTTTTCACCTGTCAAGTTTTTGCCACTTTGTCTTCTACCCTTTGCCACTTTTGTAAAATAGCATTTTAAAGTGATCGTTACAAGTTCCATGGTTTGCCCAAAAACAGAGTAGTAAGTAAAAGAGATGCAATGAAACTCCTCAATGATACATTAAATGCAGTACAAGAAAAAATTCAGTCATGGCATTATGCTATTACAAGGTTTCTGAAATAATGTGGAAGAATCTGTGCAGCTAGCCTGGGTAAGAGTTCTGGG